AAGATAAGGAGAAACAAATCATATATATTTTGTCCTAAATATATACAGAATCTAATAATACCAATAATTCTTCAAACAGAAATAATTATAAAATTACTCATAATCCTAAGGGTTCTTCCTCTACCCAATTCCCTCATGTAACTCCACATATAAATAATCTCCTTTTTCCCCGTACTTGGATACGTAGAAGCTGAATTTATAAGAGATCTGGTTGGTCTCCCTCGCTGGGTTCCCCTCGGTCTGAAGCTGAAAGTAGAGGGAAAAGAAGAGAGAGCAGAAGAAGAGAAATCAGAAAATGAGAGGTGTGCCTTTTTAGAGTGGCAGACAGCTCAATTTATAGGCCTCAGACTTTGCCAGAACGGCCCGTTCCAATTTCGGAACGGCCCGTTCTGGACGCCAAAATCATGGGCAAAAATTGCACCCAAAACGGCCCGTTCCCAAACCAGAATGGCCCGTTCTGGTTGCATTTATTACTCACAACTGCCGTAGCCCGTTCCATGCCCGTTCCAAGCCCGTTCCCACTTAAAGTATAAAGCAGTTTTTAATAGTCCAGAACGGTCCGTTCCAACTTGAGAACGACCCGTTCTGGCCTACGAACTAACGTACGATTTGGTAGTTTGGAATGGCCCGTTCCAATTCCGGAACAGCCCGTTCCCAACTACTAAATCACATACATTTTGGTAGTTTGGAACGGCCCGTTCCAATTCCGGAATAGCCCGTTCCAAGCTACTAAATCACCTCTATACCTTTATAAAATTTACAAAAATACCCTCAAAAATAAAATAAAATAGAAATAAGAAAAAATGGGGTGTTACACAAGCCATATAGTATGTAGCACTTGTACAGTTGTACTTGCATTTGTTTCAATATTCGTACTGAATAATTGAAAATTGATACTTCAGGACACTTCACCAATAAATATCTATGAAGCATCCAAGTCTTTAAAAGAGGTTATGAAACTTTGATACAACAAAATATGAAACATGAAAGTGTACAAAAGATAGAAATATAGAAACATTGTCTCTTGAATCTTGATGAACCAAAATGGATGTTGTTCTCTACTTCTCTTTATGGATGTGATGCTCAAGAAGGGAATGAGATTGACACTATTTTTACACTATTTTTACTTTTATTTTTATATTAGTAATTTTGACAATTATATATAGGTTTAATTAATCATTTGGTCCCTACACTAAACTTTGTCTCACCTTTGCGCTTTCGTCCCTGTACCTAAAAATTCTATGTTTAAGTTCTCATTCGACAGTTTTTTTTATTTTTATACCTTCTTGTTAGTTTCCTAGCAGTGTAAAATTGTCACAAAGTAGAAGTATAACAACTAAAACATAATAATTAAAATAAAATAAAATACTTGTATAGGGATTAAGATGTAGAGTTTCTAGGTATAAGGACTAAAACACAAAGTATGGACAAGTTTAACAACCAAATGATTAATTAAACCTTATAATGCCTTATCAAATTTTAAATGTATCATTTACATGTTAGTGCTACTATATTCTATACATTTTAAGAAATGTTATATAAATATCAGAAATGTATCATATCCAATCATTCCTCAAGTGTTTACCATTGTTTTAAAATCAACAAGCAGCAAATTAGACATACGGTACCATTGTGTGACTCCTTAAAAGAATGAAAAGAATGGGAAGAGAAACTCACAACATTGTATCCAATTCAATTTTCTATGGGAGCTATTAAATGCTCAACAAAGAATTTAATCTAAAGGATAATATCAGCAAAGCAGCAATTGCATTGGATAACAACTTTTTTGAATCAACAGAAAAGTTAAAGAAAGTTAAAGAAAGTGGCTAAACGAAGCCTATAAACAGTAAGTTCCATGCCCAATGTACATATAGCTCACCCACTTGTAAATCCATTTTCAAGAACATAGAGTCAAAGCCTCATAACTGAGTTCAGGACTTTTTTTCATATGTATCCCTCGTTCCTTCTCTTTGACATTAAAAAATTGCATTTCAGAACAATATGACAATCATATAACATATTACTCATTCTAGCTTGAATACAATAAACCAAACATGATTGAAAACCATCAACCATAAAACATAAAACATAAAATCCAATACCTAGATTCATCGGTATGTACCAGAGTTGTTTGGTTACAACACGGTCAGTTGACTATTTGTGCATCTCTGTTACCCTCTAAGATGCTGTCAATGCCAGTTCCACCTAATCTCATATTAGATAGCAAGGCATTACGACCAATCTAGACCACATGGAAAAAGCTACCAACTTCCTTTGTAAGAAGATCTATCTCTGTTGCTTTGTGAGCAAGTTTGTAACTCACCAGACGAGGCAGAGGAAAGCAGAGGTTGTGAGCCCGTGAACTCGTGGCTGTGAGCAACGTTAGCAGTAGCAGGCTAGAGGCGTGACTCTTGAGCAGTAGAGGCGTGACCGTGACCGAGAGCGAAGAAGAAGAATGGAACGAGAGAGAGGGGGATTATGTTGTTAAGGTTTAGGTTTCTGATGAGAGGGGAGGGAACATTTCACTTAAGCTGAAATTTTTAACTTACTTGCGGCAGTTCTATATTAACTGCCGAAGAAAAATTGAAAATTGCGTCCATTGGGTAAAACCGTCGTAAGTTTAATGTTTTTTGGACTAAATTAAAAAAGTGAAGGCGATTCTTTAAAATCGCCGCAAAATGTGACGTTATTCCTTTTTTTTGGTGTAGTGTATGTTGTACATGATTGACGTTGTTGATCTCTATATGCATTGACTAGATGTAATGTATATAGTACATGTATGATAAGGTGTGGATGCTAATAATGCAATGTGGAATTATAGCATGACGGCTAACTTAGGATTTGAGGAGAGAAAATTATTTTGAAAATTGAAGATCCCACATAGGGTATCTTGGAGTGGTGCTAAGGTAGGCCATTGTTTGGAAAATCCTCCTTGAGTAGGTGTGTCTCTTGGAGTGGGTTTTTAGGTGTGTTGAGTCTCCTCCAAATCCTTAGTTAGTGGTTGAGTAAGGACGAAGGTTAAGGGCTACAACCCTTAACCAAGTACCTGGAAAGGTTGCGTGATTTCTTGTAGATAGCCGGTGGGCGAACTCCACATGTGACTTGGTAATGCATGCCAAGGTTGTGGTAAGCTTGTACCTAGCTGTGCTATACCTGATAGTGGAACCGGACTTTCCTAGTGTAAGTGATGAGACCCGAACCAGAGGAGGGATTGGTATCCCATTCTGCTGTGATCGAGCCGACGCTTTGGGCGTGAAAACGATTAGGTTGGTTCGGTAGGGTGAAAATTACTTAGACTACTCATGTTGTTAGGAGATCTCCATAAGTAAATGCGTGACGACGCATTAGTCAATGTGTTTGCATATGATGTCTGTTGAGATGTGTTCATGTACAATTGAGGTTGTTTGGGACATGATTGGGTGAGGTACATGCTTGGTTGAGATGTGATTAGTTTTCATACATGATATCTGGTGCATTGTTGTATATCATATACATGTATCTATATATATATATATATATATATATATATATATATATATATATA